CCCCCCCCCGCCCCCGTCGTGGAAGGCCCTCGTTCTATATTTTGGGGCTCTTGTGAATTTATTTCCAACTCTATAAAGAGTCTGAATTTCAACCCGAAAGTCGCAAATGCCCCGCTCTTGCCTGTCGATATTTCACGCCGTCGAAAAGCAAGAGACCGGAAATCAGTCTACGTTCGCATACTTACTAACTCAGTGCAAAAATCGAAACCATTGCACGCAACCACTGATCCGGGGGAGGCAAATTCCAGCCTCATTCCCCGGACCCTGGGAACGAGGTTAAGACAAAATCAAGTTCTGTAGAGTTACGTCATCAGTATGGACATATACTGGTCAAATGTCAGAACTGAGGGGGAGGGTGGAGGGAAGCGTTTTGTTTTTTCGCTGTAATATGGACCGGTTGCTAAAAAAGGCGATGTATTGCAGATTAGAAGAGTAAATTTAATGAGATTAAACTACCAGCCGGTTTTATTCCATTTTCATCCTCAGATTTGAAAACTCTGTCGACGTCGCCATCGCAGTAATTCCAGATGTCCATTTCCATTCGAAGCCCATCTGCAAATTCAAAGTATCCCTACGGAGGGAAAAAAAAAGTTCATAACTTACGTAAAAACACGTCACAAAGATCCCTTATCTTATTGTTAATTTAAAAGTTGCTTATCGGTGGAGAGAAAAATTCTCACATTCCGAGTAAAAACAAATACTGGTAAACAAATGATCTCATTTATCATTGGCCATTGATCTTTGGCACTATGTTCTATCTCAACAATAGCAAACGTAAGTTTCCACAATTCCGAAAGTGTTAATAACTATGTTCTATCTCAGCAATATCAAACGTAAGTGTCCACAATTCTAATAGCTGTTTCCTTCAGTAATCTGTCCTTTTATGTTCATTCAAACGAGATGGGAGTTAACTTTCTAATTTTTTTTTTTTTTAGCAACTTCTTGGCATTCTAGTGAGCGACTTTCCAGCATTTAAAGAGCACAATATGGACAGGCCTAAACGGAATTGCTTTTCGTGGAACATTAGGGTAAAAAATAAAATCGACCCACGCCAGCAGAGCTTTAAGAGTTCCCTCAAAAAGCATCTCGTTTATACTTTTATATGAAAACTGCCCATCCAGATACTTACTTCAACTGCCTTGCCTTTTTCAAATTTTCCGATGTAGTTTACGCCTCCTGGGAACTTTAACTTTCCTTCCCCTTGAAACCTGACAAAATAAGCGTATAAAAAATTGTGCTTTA